GTACCATTAATATTTTAATAATAATCTACAATGCTTCTGTATCAGTGAGATAGCAAATTTCTAATTGAAATTTACAGCTTTGTTTTTCATATTTTTCTGCAACAAATAGATTGCAAGGTAATTGAATAAACCTCGCTTGAACCATTGACTTAGGTTGGGTTTGTCGACTCCTTTACGACACTCGGCAGATCAATCCGTTCGACCTCGAATTCCGCTTCTGCATTTCGAAACGAGCTTTCGTATTTCGTCCGGCCCGTTGAATCGCACTTTAAGTGTCATTACCATTGCATCAATAAAAGTTCCTCTTCCCAATCATTTCGAATCGGTCGTTCGTCGACGAGAGCTATATCCCGAATGGAAATTTAAATTCTACTTCGAAGCAAGAGGTGCTAGAGGTCAAAATTGAAATTTCAAGATGACGACTTAATGGCACGTATTTCGATCTACAGAGGAGCAAAAGAGGATGAGCAAGGGATTTATGAGAATTTTTCTTCGCAACCTCGTAATCTGGGTAACTCGATCGGAGAACGAGAGAACGAATACAAAAGAATAGAATGGAGAAATGGGGAACAGTAGATGCGAGGTAAATTATCGCGTTCAAGCTAAATAGTAACGAGGGATCTCGCTGGTGCGCTCTTTTTAAATGTCCATGCTAGAAGACCTTTGTTTCTCGCGGACAAAGGTGGCCGCGTTCTCGTACGAACGATGCATCGCGCTGCGTGAACGCCTACGGCCCTTCGCCTTGACCGGCGCTCATTAGAACGATGTAAACGTTGTTACGAAATAATTTGTATTCGCAAATGGAGGAAGAAATCATTGAGGAATCAATTTTCTTCCAATTTAATATTGCTGTGCGTGTTAACATAGAAAATGATTGATCTCATCGAAGCATGTTGTACATATAGAAGTCAGCATCCTTTTGAAGAAAAAGAACTTCCGATGGGTGGGAATATGTAAGTACTTTCTTGAAGATGAACCATAGTAGGGAAGTCTGGTCATAAATAATTTTCTCAGCAGTTAAATAAGGGAAATTATAATTAAGTCAAATTAATTAAACCAAATAGCCTTCAAATTAAATGAATAATACAGGTTTGGTGAAGAGCAAAAAGGTGTTAATTGGAAATGTCCTTTGCGGTCAGAAATTGCTCAGTTGCTAATGTAGAATGAAAAACTTATTACCAATAAAAGGTTTAAAAAAAAAAGAAAAAACGATTTTAAACCCCACCCCTTTCTCCTATTGAATATTTTATTTTTGAAGTCACGTTGATATAACAAAAACCGGAAAAAAATATTTGGAAAAAATAGAAACACACACAAAACTAAATTTCGTTCACTGCTTAGGCTGACAAAGTTGCACCGGCAGCTCTGGTGCACAGCCAACACTAAATCACTTTCTCGCTGACCTGAAAAGCAACGCTAGGGACCAGCCCCGCTAAATCACCGGCCACGAAGCGCGTTCTCTACGCTCGATTAACCGCCCGTTAATTCACCGAAAAGTCAAGCTCCATAGCACCATAAAGTGCCATCATTGGCGCAACGTTTACGACGTTAATGACCGCGTTACCGACATTCGAATCAACCTTTCACTCTCGCGTTTCTCACGGCTACGAGGAAATACGAAATCAATCGATCGCTAGCAGATTTTCGATCGCCAATGATTATCGACACGATTGCCTCTAGCGTAACATTGAATAACAGACGATGAACTTTTCTTGTGGAATCAATTACTTTTTATAATGATAACAATAATATTACTTCATTCTTTATTCAAGTAAATAGCGATTCAATCAATTTACAATTTAGAATTTTACACTAGTGAATATCTACTTTTCACTACAATGGGCATTTCAAAAAGGGAATAAAAAATTCATGTGAAAAGAAGTAAAAAATTCCTATGTCATTTTAGATGTAAATGATTGAAGACTAGTCAATACCAAATTGTAAATTAATCCCTTCGTTATTTGTTCCAATGAAACTCCAGCCATTTTTTATTTTGAATATCAACGCAATATTGTAATATTTAATAAACTTTAAGCTTTAAATTGGTATACCATAAGTGTTACTTCGCGACACTTTTATCTCATCAAATCAAGTCAAACTTCCTACGTTTCGAATCAGCAACAATCTAATATCTATCAAGTTTTAATTACAGGTTTACGATTATTACTCAACAGACAGCGCAGTGAAAGCTTTAGAATCGAAATTTTCCTCGAGAACATCAAAATGCAAAATAATCAAATTAATTAACGAGTTTTAGTTACAGGTTTGCGATTATTACTCAACCACGGCGAAAGCTTTAAGGCGAGCCGAAGTGGAACCGCAACCGTCGCGCACCAACAATCCCAATAATTGCACGTGACAGAGGAACGCGTTACGCGCGAGATAATTAATCGATCGATTAATTAAGCGGCAAAAGCCGCGCCGATCCTACTGACGGAAGGTTTAATCTGTAGTGGCCGCGTTCATTTCAAGTGTGCAACGTCTGGGGAACACGCCTCGCGATTTCTTGCAGGTGAATGACAAATAATGAAATAATGTTTGTATACAGTATATATGGTTTAAATATACATGTATTGTTAATTTTTTTAACTATTGAAAATGGGAAATAATGTTTCATATGAACGTTGAATTGACGACCTTACAGTAAGAGGGATGCAGCTCCATTTTTAAAAGCTGGCAGTTAGCAAAAATGGAGCTGCACCCCTTTAGCTGCAAAATTCTTAATTTTGGTAAAAATATAACGTTTTATTTTATAGGACTGAAATAGACGATTATTCAAAGGAACAAGTGTTTTCTGAATCCTGAAATTCTGTGTAAACTCCAGTTTTGAAAATAATTGAAGTACGTGCCTGAAGTACGTAAGGGCGGTGACGAGATAAGTTTGATAAAGGAAACTACGGGAGTCCGATGAAAGTACATAATCTTGTTTAGGAAGTTATCGTGGGATTGATAAAACAGGGAATTTATACGCTTAGGTAGAAGACAAGGGATTATTCAAATTTCTATAAAAACCGGGAAAATATTTCCTAAATTCTTCTGCAACTTTGTACAAAATTCAAGTTTGGATCGTCAGAAATAATAAGAAGGATCTCTGGAGGTATGAATCACTCTTTTCTTTTAAAACAAGGATTATCCGTGTGTTTTTAACTTCAGCGCGAGTTATTTTTTAAAAAGGTAGCAATAAATTCAAGCAATCTCGTACCCTTGGCTGGAAGTTGAGCAGCTGGAAAATATTTATCTCGGTTTCCTTTTGCTGTATCGTAATGTATGATTCCAGTTTATCATTGTATGCACGAGATACCAGCTTCACTATCTTTTTCGTTACTTTCTGTGTAAAACACTTTTTTAAATACAGATTATACGATTGTGAACACATTTCCCAACAACGAGTACTTTTTCTTATCATATTTTCCATAATGGTATCAGTCAGTTCTTTAACCCAAGATTGTCAACATAAAAAAGAAACCAAACAAAACTAAAATTATAGCCATTAAATTTTTATAGACAAGCTAAATCATTTAAACCCGAGTATTTATTTTTCTTTTTAAATCTTTTGAACATTTGACTCAAAGAACGATTATATATTAAAATAGAGCCTCTAATAAGTTATCGATAAGCATCTCAAAATTTTTTCATATTTTTTGAAACTCAAGAGCAGTAAAAAAAATTAATCGCGGATATAAAAATCCCAAGTTATCCATGGAGGATTAAATATTATCGCTGTCACGAGTAGATATAACAAATAAAATTATCAAGAAGTAACTTGAAAATAAAATTGCAAATCTTTGGTTTAAGAGTTGGAGAAAATTGACAGATCAAAAAATGATTACAGAAACCATTAATCATCGTACCGTAGAATAATTCTCTAACGACTCGTCGTCTCGTTTAAACGAGTGAGTTGCGCTTTACCTGACAGATCGTAAAGTTTTTCGCTCGAATTTAGTTTCAATTCTCCTTGTGCGTTCTCTGCACGATAGGGACACCTACGTTCGCTGCTCCGAGGGTGGCTGGGCAGAAACGTTCCATTTTATGCAGAAAGGTGGGTGAAGTTGGTATCTCGAGCAGGAAGTAGGTGGATGGCTCGAGAAATTGATCTCCTTCGATTGTTGAACGTTGCTGAGAAATTTACTGTGAAGTTATACGTGGCCTTTGTTCTTTGTAACACAATGTCTCAACATTTTATTGCGCAATTTAGCGAAATATGCTTTCTGAACTCTTTGGTACTTGGTGGAAGCACAATTTGACTAAAGATTTAGTATCAATATATTTTGAGGTTTTAGTATCATACTGCTGTTTCTTTTGACATTATTATCCAGTAAACCGTTTTAACCCTTGAACAGCGGAGCCTGGGTCAGTCGTGACCCAAATGTACGAAACTTATTCAAGGATATTCATATATGAGAAGAGTTTCATGTATCAGAAAAATAGTTTTTAAAAGAAAAGTGTAAAATTTAAAAAAATGAGAATGGTTCTTTCCATGGTCCACCATCTGAGGGTTGATACCATTATTATCCTTTTGTAATCATATTTATGCTCTTAACCACCTTAACCATATCAGGATACTATTTTTGTATATTTGTTTATTTTTAAATTTCATTTTAAAAGTTCATTTTAAATGTAATTTACTTCATACAGTAAATTATAAATCTAGTTTTACTTCAAATTTCATTTTAAAAGTAAAATAGATAATTAGTTTTTCATCAGGAACTTTTATAATTAACTTAGCACAGTTTCCTAAACTAAACCAATATAACGTTGAACATAATATATCGTTTATAAATAATACTTTGCACGTACGAACGACGAGGGCGTTTCTAACAATGAATATAACGATACGCCTTAACCATTGCTGATGGATTTTTGTTGAGCATTTTGCGCGTATGAATGAAACGTAAATGCACTGAACTCACAATCCGACAAAATACGTACCAAACTTAAGACATTTAAAATAAGAATAAATGTTCTGAAATGTAAACACTGCTACATAGTGTATCACTTACCCAGGATGATGCCTGGTGTAGGTAGACGGAGTCGTAGTGAGATGCGGGTAGCTCTGCGTAATAGTTTCCCTCGGCTGATGACGATGACTGTTATGATAACCGGCATAAGCGATCGCTCTGGTGCCACCGTATTCGGCCACTGCAACCGTGCTGAGTTTCTCCGGTTTCGTGGTTCCGGATCGTTGCTGATGGACCCGTTGCTCCACGTGATGTCTGGACCCGACACTTTGCGGCGCGATCGTCGATGTAAATCTTTCCGGAAAGAGATGCTGCTGAGAACTTCTCGAATCACGATCGTGCCGAATACGAGACAATTTCTCGTGGAACCAGATCGGCCAGATTAGTCTGTGACTCGAAGAGTCGTAGCGATCCGAACCGGACGAATGTTCGATCGAGACGATCTCGATCGGCAAAACAAGCAACGAGCACGTGAAGAAGATTTTCTGTACGAAAGCCATCGTTGGAACGATTTTCTCTGACGACATCTGTAACCAGCCGCGACGAACGATTACATTCTCAATGATTTTGACCGGAACGATTTTTCAACCGCGGCCCTCCACTGAATACGCCGAGCGGGCTCGATGGACATCCGGTGCGAAATCGTTCGAAAGCAACCGAGAGCACTACTGAACGAGACACACCGAGTAGGCTCCACGTGCTTGAACAGCTCGCACCAACCCCACCATTCTCTTTCTTTCTTTCTTTATCCCTTTCTACTCTCCTCGTTTCCTCCTTTTAGCCCCTCATCCTCTCTCTCTCAACGATCTCGTTCCTCTCTTGTCCACTCTCGGGAGAGTTGTTCCTTTTCTCCGTTCCCCTTCGTCCATTCCGCTTCTACCTGTCTGCTCTCCTGATACAACGCCAACCGCTCGGCTAACCACCTACATATCCTTGCACGCGTTCGACGAGAAGGTTCAGCAGATGTAGGGACGCGATGATCGTTCCTGGGATAGATGGGACGTATCGAAACTCGAACGGTATTATCGTGGTACCATTTTTAATTCGTTCCTATGGAGAGATTAAAATTCCCTAAAAATTCTGAAATAATTTAAATTTTCAAATAGCTTCGTCTACGTTGCTTAGAATCGGCCTCGAACTTGCAAGTTGCAACTCAGCTAGAAGTTTCTCTATTTACGAGCAACGGACGTGCCTGCAGAGTGCAACAGCGGCCCAGAGGTGTCATGGTTTCGAGACGAATGTAGGTCGTGAGTCATGCATTCCCGTAGAAAACATTCTGGCTGGTTGGAAATCATGGGGCGAAGAAAAGCGATCCGCAGATGCAGCTCGGTGCAACTGGCGCATAAAGCCGATCGATTTTGCATCCGGATAATAAAGGAACTGAAAGTAAGCGTGTGGTCCGTGCTCGCACTCGCAGTCACGTTTACACGCGCAATTACGCCGCGGTAATGAATAGATGGCTGATAGTGTGCCAGCACATTGGGACAATGCCTGTGGCGATGCTCGTAATTACCAGTGATTTAATGTCGAGCCTCGTGAAGTATTGTCTGTCCGTCGATCTTTTACCTGTTAGACTCCCTCACCTGTTTCTGGGAACCTACATCCACGTTTCAATAGCGTAGCTTCGATGTTTCTGCAATGCGATGTTGTTTAACCCCTTTGTTCCGAGTGGTAGACATTAGGGATGTGCGGGTACCCGTATGTGTCGAGTACTCGAAATAGTCGGCTTACCCGAGTGTTCGTATGGCTTGCATACCCGCCCGAACTCGTCCAATTTTACCCGATCCGGCCCGACCCAAATCTCGTAGTTTTATCCGACCCGAGCCCAAAATTCGGGTACCCGTACACCCCTAATATATAGATCTGTATCATCAATATTCTAAACTATATAAAATTAAAATAAAAGCGTTGTAACATACTTGTTCACCCACCCTCCATAAATAATTCTATTTTTATAATAAACATCTCTAAATTGACATCAAAGACTGATGCAGTTCGCAAAAAAGACAAATGTGATTTAGATGTTTATTTTTTTGCAACTTAATGATGTAAAAGCTTTTTCTTGTATAGAAGAGAACGCATCCCATGAAATCACCATTTATTTATGGAACTTATTCGTCTGTATGAAACGTTTAATCATGTATCAATCTTTCAAATTTGACATAATCGTATAATAAGTTAATAGCTGAATCGTGTTCATAATTTTGGAATACTCTGTATGATATTTTCGAACATGTTTATCGACAGTGGATAATAAATTATGGAGGAATTTGAATATGACATTGGAATTCTTATAAACAGTCACCGGGCATGAAATCATCGCAACCAATGAAAGAAGTCCATCTTAAAAATAACTTTTAACATCCCTCTCTGAGAAAGTCTGACAAATTATGATTCCTGTTATTGAGGAGTTCTATAAGAAAAATGTAATAGGATTACAGGGAAAAAGAATCGTTCCCTGAATACAGATAACCGAATCGTTTGTTCGTTGAACGAGGGATTCCCTGAATTACGATCAAAGTTTTATTTCATCGATCAAACTTTTCCATCGAACTAGACTTAAATTAGAGCCCCGGTGCTGTACATTGGTCTGTCTTCCGACGAAATTGAAATGGGACAATTAGAGACAGGATATCCCGAAACTGGCGTGATTCATTACCGTCCTTGGAGAATCGGTTCCACCCTTGAACTCCGGAATTCAATTTCGCTTCCACCCTGTTACGAAATTTTCTGCTGGAGTAATAGCCCATATACACCTAGATACCTATGTACATTAGGTGTATAAATTAATTCGATATTTTTATTATTTCGCCTTCTTAATTATTATTTTAATTTTGAATATTTTTTCGCACTTTTGTGCGAATTAATTAAAGTAATGCGAATAACTATTATTACTTTAAAAAAGTACTTTAACTGTTGGAGTTACCGTGAGGTTTAAAATAACTATTCAATTAGAAAACAAAATTCCTAGGACCACTCTTGCATGTACACTTGATCTAAATACAAAAGCGACGTAGCATCGCAAAATAAACTAAATAAAATTGAAAAAATCAATTAAACTTTCATGGAATCCAATAATCCAACACTGGAACACTATTCGCCCTATCGAATTGATACGTTAGAAAAGAAAATTCAAAAACCCAAGCGAAACGTGTGGACAACAGTTTTCGACGTATAGCATAGGTGTTCCATTTATCACGCTGAATTATTTCAGCATCGGTAAAATATTCCAACGCCCGGCGAGCCAGGAATAAAAGGGTTGTGCAACGTTTTGTCTCCTGGTATCTACGTTGTCTTTGTGTCATTCGGTCTGCCCATGCTTTGTTTGTCGTCTCCTCCTATTCCATGTGAGCGAGATGATTTCTTGCCGGATGACTCGAAGGTGGTGCTCTCGAAAGGGCAGACGGAATCGCAGATATCTTGCGGTGAAGATAACATCTGCGGGAGCAGAGAGAGATTTGCGGTGGACTCGAGCCTCGAACTGCCTACGTATGTATCTTCCAGCTGCACCGGCTGGTCCACCTGCATTGCAGCATTGCATTGGTTCAATGTCGGTGCAACATTGACCGCGTATAACGATCGGAATGTTGCTCGTTGAAAATTGCACTCGAACAGACCGTGCTTCGAAGCGTTTGAAAAATATTTTTCCTCGACCTAGACATTCGATTTCATCATCTGCCAAAATGATAAAAAAAATGGTTTAATTAAACCAGAAATTATATCCGTCGTTAAGTGTCGACGGACAATATTGGAAACGAATACGGAAATTTACGAAACTGCTGAATCTTTTCCAATCGTATTTCGCGGATAACACGTTTCTACAAGTATTAAGTGTATTAGTTTTCAAGGTAGCTGGAAGTTTCCTAATTGTAAACCTATTAAGTCAATCTTGTTTTAACTTGCTACAAGTTTGATCCGCAATGGTAAGACTGGAGGTCAGATGAAGTCGTTAAAAAGTTTCAAATGCTTTCTTACGCGATCGATTACGCTAACACAGGGAAAATAGAAAAATAGAAGGAACTTGATAGAAGGTCGTTCAAATTCATCAACTTTGTAATTTTTCTTTAAATGATCTACAGCTATTCTTTTCGATTAAGCTTTTAAGTTATGTATTTATGTTGAAAGAAAAATTGCAATAGCTTTTCATGAAAAATTCATGTACCAGCAAATGGAATATGCTGAAACCTATTCACTTTAGAACGAAGCTATTCGAACGGAGAGTCGAAGAATCATCGACGATAATTTAACCGAGCATTTCGGATTCGAAGGTGCACACGGAGGAGATGTTGGTGCAATTTCTGCAGCATCGAATCGACTAGGACGTGTTCGAGACCAAGGTCAGTGGTGCTGCGACCGCAGCGAGGTCTGTCTGCCTTTTTGCTCGTATCCGCGGGCTTGTCTTCGGAAGCGGTGCACGAGGAACGGCGAGATAATTGTGCGCATCATTGATGCGTTATTGCCCATTACGAGCACGAGACAGAAAACCCGGACAGCAGGTCCAACGATACATAAATCACCGTCGAGAAACGATATTCCACCTCGCGACATTCCTATTCCGTGCTTACGTTTAATGTTTTCATTCGTCGCGAGCGGGCATTTCGAAGAAGATCCACAGTCGCTACCCTCGAACCCTTTTCCACGAATTTGCAATGCAAATCAACTTCCTGGGAAGATGTAATCATTGATCCCGGTTACCTCCTCGTGAGGCCGGCTTTCGACGTGGTATTACCAAGAAGAATTTTCGACGCTCAGACTTGGAGATATTTTGACTACCTGTTTAAGCCATTCTTCCTTCGAAAAAAGCGTTTATTTCAATAATAATTGTAAGATCTGTAATTATGATTCGTTAATAAAATTTATTATTATGTAATCCTTTGAACTTGACTATCATGATTCTTGGTTTAGCAACGTTTTGAACTATTTTTAGGTCCATATTAGTTTTGAGTACTTGCATTTAACCCTTTAGATGTTTATAAGTAATGAGTAAAATTTACGTAAAACAAGAAACATATTTGTAATTTCATGACATTTTAAAATAATAATGAACTAAACATTAATAAACGAAATGCAATATTCAAGGAATAATAAGAACAAATTTGAATAACAAATAACAGACTTAATTATTTCATTTGAATTTTAAATTCTGTAAATAATATTAATTTCTGCGGTACTTGAAATGCGCTATTTAATCATTCTCATATGGTACATATCCCAGAAAGAACATAATCATTATAGTAATCACTCGGATTTGAATAGCGAAACCGCTTTTTAAAAAGAATGTGTCATTTAAGAAATGAGCATCGTTACTAAACCCGTGCATCGTTAAAATATGCCACATTAGTTCTCTTACATTACTTCCCTGGAATAACAACGTCATTAACCGTGGAATCGACTTTCAAGACGAATGAAATTCGCGACGAACGTTGATATTAAAGAAACACGTGGCAAGGCCATAAGATCGACTTGTCAATTTGCATCCACTCTTTCTACTGTTCGAACATGAAACGATAAGCTTCGTTACCGCGTCATCGAATGTTCCCTCATTAATCATCGTTTGCACCTATTTAGTTTTGGCATTCGCATCGTTTTTATTTGTTTTGCTCGGTAGTGCAGACAATTTCAATCACGAAACGATGAACATCTTCGAAGGATGTATTAAAGCGTTGATACAACGAACGCGAAGGGCAATCAACATTTATTATATTTCAACTGTGTTTTCAAGTGTATATAAAGTGATTGCGAATTCAAGTTGTTATCTTCGATCGATACGAATATGTATTACAATTTAGTAATTGTAATTAAAGTTACAAAAACTTTCTTAAAATAAATTTTCAACTGTACTGTCCTTAGAACACTTTAACCCTTTTTTTTTAGTAAAATGTTTCATTAGATCTCACATTTTTTTCTAAACATAAAACATCAAATTAAATTAAATGAAATTACTGAGCTACTCTGTCGTTCGGTTGCTTTCAAAAATGCAACGAACCTTTTATTATCATGGAAATCTGTGTCGTCAGCAGGGAAACTTGTTCCTTGGGATCTTGACGAGTCTTTACCGCAGAAAAATGCAAGGGAAAACGTGATGATCAAAGGCGCAACGACAGAATACACGCTGACAGACACAGACTATGGAAAAATTTGTCTTGCACAAGGGAGCAATGTTGCGGAAGAAATTAATGACCGCGGTAAATCGTCGAGGTTGTAACTTTAACCTTTATCTTGGAGAAAATGTTGCGTTCAGGGGACAACGCGTAAAGGGTTTAATCAGACGAGTATAATTTTTTTCGTGCTCGTTACATCAATGGCACGTGGTCACTCGATGTTATTATTTAATATTTACATCGTTTATAATATTTTAGATAAAAGAAAATTAACATTAGAACAGTTAAATATCTACAATTTGTTCTGATTGAGAGGAAACGAAATATCTTCTGAAAATTGCTACATTTTTCATTATCTTCCAATGTATATTGTTTTTCATTTTCATATGTTTCTTTTATTTGTATTCACTTTGCTTCGTTCTCTTGGTTGGTCAAATGAAAGCGAAACAATGTCTCCGCGATGCTCCAGGTAAAATTCCACTGAATTGAGAGTTGCGACGTCTATCATTCAAACAGCTACTTTATTGCTCTACCTATTCTTCACCGAGATTTTGTTCGTCGTTAAATATAAGTCTCTATAATTGTTTCCTTCGGTGGTTCTTGCGAATTAGTGTATATTACTATCATCGGTACTCAAGTACGAATTTTAAAAAAGTCAAACCTTTTCCACAAGGTATGTTACATAATCTCTTAGATAATTTTTAATTTAGTTTAATAATTTTGACGACCTTCGTGTTTAAAGCGCCTTAGAGTGGAAAGGAGTCCCTTCCTTCCGGGGGTAGGATGGGACTCCTTCTTAAAATGTTAAAAGATCTAAATTAAAATGATAAAAGGTCTAAATTGAAAAGTGATTAAATTTTTTACTTATTATATTTGAAAAAAATGCTGCTAAAATATTATAGTGGTTACCTTTGACCTGTGCGTAAATATATGTTAAATGGACTAATAACGATAACTCACAATACTACTCTTTTCTAATTTTTTATATCATCTATAAATTTTTGAAAATTTCTGCAAACATATATTCTCTACGTGACAAAATGACCAGCGTACCAGTTATCACTTGACCGCCGTCGGATTAAATGTTACCAATAATTACCACACCAGATTGCGCATTGTTCCGGTGTTTCATTAAACGTTCCTGGCTCTGTATTTCCAGCCGAGCGTTCTAAACGACAAAGCAACACGCTGAACAGATGTACGTGCAGTTGACTAAAGTTTTAGCAAGGAAATGCAATTTGCGAACACTCAGCAGATTGAACAAACAGTGGCGTACACAGACCACGTATCCAGCTTCTGACCTACTGACACGATCCACTGACGTCACGGGAGGGCAGGAGAGTTTAGGAAGGAGCGAAAGGAAAGACTATAGATGACTAGAAGTTGACCCATTCCCATTGTCAGCTAAGGAAATCAAGAGTCAGAATCAAGATATAGTTATCACTACGATGTGGTGAAGTAGTAAAATCTTTCAGAAGTCAAACTATAGTAGTTGCCACAGTTAGAATAATATTTAAAATATTAGACACTAACAAGTTGCTATTTATTATTTTATTATAAAACCTCGAACAGCAATGCTTGGGTCAATTGTAACCCACATTTACGAAAATGAAATATTCCAATTTTTAGACATAAAACTTTTATATAGTGAAAAAATAATGTCTAAAGAAGCAATATAAAATGCATAAAATGATTTGTAAAATTAAATTTTAACCATAGATCGTAAATTACATGAGCAAACATCCGGGGTTAATTTATTTCGTGTCGACAAGTATATCAGAGCCCCTTTGACAAGCAAGATGATACCACCCTAACGAAAAGTCGATGAAGTTTACATTGTGTTGAAACTGTAAAGTAATATGTTCCTGGCTAATAATTTGTGAGCATAGGATTACGTCGATCTATATCTATATTCTATATCGTTTTTCTTTTTGCTCTTTTTACCGGTGTCAATTTTAGTGTAGCGTATCATGTTCTGCGGTATAACGTGCGTTCACAGACCGACGATTAAAAATCCTGCTTGTAACATAAATATTCGGTTACTACATACTTCGTTCCCAAATGAGAAATAAATGTACATATAATTCCCTTGGGATTATTGCACAGATCATTGGAATATGGAAAACTTCAATTCAATTCTAATACTAACATAAACATGAGTATAATATTATTTTTTATAAAAGTAAAATTAAGAATTTAAAATTTCCAATAATCCTCAAACTAAATAAATCATTATTATTCTACTATAGCGCTCAGTTTTGTAAATAAACCTTTTTCTTATACGTACAAATAACAATAATATTTAAAAATCTATAATCTTTAAAATCTGAAAAATACACCCGATATTTTCAACCCATTCACGCGGTGGCTTTTAAAAAGAAAAGCCAACACCATCAAGTAAAAAAACTCATTGACCAAAAGCTGAGGCTGAATGAAAAAGCAAAAAGAATGTAACGTTCGATCGTAGGAACAAAAAGTTTCGCGTTTCATGGCACGAGCCCGCGAGAAACAAAGTCCGATAGCGCTTTAGATTTTCCGTCTGGTCGAACGACAATTTTTCTCGTCGATCGATCCTCTATTCGATATATCGTTCCACCGCCGCCGTTCAAAGCATTCTCGCTGCCTTTTCTGACCGCAGTTTCGAAGATCGATCGATCGTTTTTCGCTGGAGGGATCGGCGAACGTCAGACTCGCAGTTCGCTCCATCCTTTGTCTAAATTTCTTGTACCCCCCCGGCACTCTTCGTCTGTCATTTTGCCCAACGTTTATTTTTTTTTCTCTTTCTCTCCACTTTCCCTCTATAGTTTCCCTACAAGATTTAATCGCGTGCGAAAGCACGTTCGCGGCGATCCTCGTCGAGGGAAATTCACGGTCGAAGGATATGAAAAATCGTCGCCAACCGGTCGGACGCGTGCCCCTTTGCAGCGGTCACATCTCGAGCGAACTGTTTGGTTAGGAAAACAGTAGTGACAAGCACGGGAAATCGTCGTCCACGGAGGATCCTTACCGTCGAGATTCCACCGATACGAGAACCACGGCCCTGCACGGCATCCACTGCGTTCGCAGTGGACCGGAAATTCCGCGGTGGAGATCCAGACGGGAGAGCAGGTGGAAAGTTTGGAGAGGTTCGAGACACATCGAGGTATACGCTTCTTGCCCGCATACCGTTTCACTATCTCTGCGACAGAGAATTTAGGAAATTTCTTGCACGACGACAACGTGATCACGACTTCCCCTATACGAGAATATTTGTGGATAGAGAGAATTCGTGATGACTGAATAATTGTTATCAAATATTAAGCTTCATTAGAAATTTAAGGCTATCCATTTAGTTTCGTGCGACGGATATTAATGCCTGATACAGAGTAGGTCTCATACATTTACTAAAAATACAAAATTTTAAGTCTAAAAATAGGCTTCCCATCTTCTAAAAAGTACATCTTTTTGTTACCTTCTTCTTAGTCCTTTGTGTGTAATTTCTCTGGTGTTAGTCAAAATTACAGGTACCATTGTTCATTCTAGTATCTCGATGAATGGCTTTGTTCTTAATGGCAAAGAATTTAACGTTTGACAAAACGAAATGCGAACAAGTCGAAAGAAACCGTGGAAGACAATTCGTGCGTCACTGTTTTCTGGGGAAATGTTAAAGGCATACACCCGTGGGTAAAAAGTTTCGAAATGGAGATGAAAAAAGCAACGAAAACGCTCGAGTTGCCAAGGTATATCCGTGACACAGTTTTACAGCTTTGATCGAGCACTAGCCTTGGTTCGAAATGTTTAAGCGAATACGTGGTAAAGTAACTTTGCTATAATGTCACTTACGTGGATAAGTTTTAAGTGAAGGGTTGCTCGTATACACATCCCTTCTCCACTTAGTGGAGAAGTCTGGTGACGTGCCTAGGCTAACATATGAGACAACATACGAGACAAGCGTGTAATTTAATTTTAACACCGCATACATTGATATACAAAGTGTATTGTAAATCATAATGAAAATTAAATTATATTTGAAATTTCCTCAAATTGTAAAAGTTTAAAGCATACTTATGACAAGTGTACCAATTATTGGGGGGTGTATACACCCTCGGAACACCTAAAGGATTAATGAATTAACGCAAGCATAATGACATCAGTAAAAAATCTACCCCTAAAATTAATTGAAATGCCGAAATTGAATATTAAGGTTTATTTCTCTTAACCCTAAATAATCCAATGTCGTAAACGCGGAGCAAAATCGTGTGTCACGATACCGTAAGTGGCGTGCGCCTAATAAAACGCAAACGGTATATTCTTTAAGCGCCGAACGGCCGCTTCCGCGTCCTCGCGGCGGAACATTAAAAGCGGCAACGATAATGGAAACACCGGACGTTGATGTATCTTAATAAGATACCGCGTGTATATGCAGGGTTATTTATTGCCGATTAATCGGCGTTCAGCTAGGGAACGAGGTAAAACGTGGGGGTTACCATTTAAGGTGTTCGATCGCGGCTCGAAAAGAGAGTTTCGCGTCGAAGTGCGCGTCCTTCCGCGCGACGCGACGCCGCGCCGCGATATATCAGCCGATCAAACGAGCCTCGAGACGTTTCCCTTCGCAATTTACCGACCACCGTATTTTTCTGCACTTCGTCCTTATCGAGACGCGTCTCACAGTCTCACCGTGTCACGGTCGCCTTGACATCGGCCTGCCTCTCTTATCTGAAACGTATCTCTCAAGCTAGTAGCAACTTGACCTCCCCCGTATTTTCAGCTTTCCTCTACGATCCGATACGAAATCTTTCCACCCCCCTCGGGGATGGAAGGTGTCCAGGTTCGACTCTTGTTCGAGTGACCCCCTTTTTTTTCTCTCTCGCCATTCTACAAACGTCACTTGTAGATGCTCGGATCTTTATGTTCTTTGGGCGAATTGAATTTCGAGGGTAGTTTTAAAACTGGAACTCTGTGGCTTACGGGCTCTTCAAATGTTACGAGCTGGATTTATTCGGTTGGATAAAGAAAGAAGAACGTATTTTTTTTTTATTCTATTTAAAATTTACTAGAAAATTTTACTAACATTTTATTATTATATTATTTTTCCGACCCAAGTGATGTATTTTCGCAAGCGTAGAAAATTCGAATTATAGAGGGTTAAAGGACTTCAGAGATTTCAGTTACCATGATAGATCTCGCGTTAAAATCCTTAACGCTCAATTAAACATGCGCAGATTTAATCAATGCAGATTTTTCCTCTGGTTGCTCTCGTTACATCCATGTTCGTTTCCAGTTAATCACGACATGTTTACACTTGGTTGGTCACGAAACTCTGACTTGTTCCCTGTACCGTTCCCATTCTTTGCCCCGCCAACTGGAGTCCATTAATTTCGCACTTGGTATTCAATTACGCATTCGTACGTTAATGGACACGAATATTTCCTACGGTTTCCCGTTTATTTTCATTCAATCACGACTTTACACCTGGCTGCTTGCAAAACTCTGATTTGACCTGTCGCGAACATTTTTCCAGATTCTTTATCTCGCAATCTGGCGCATATTAATTTACCCTAGAGTCTCGGACACACTTGGACATTTTTTCACTTCTTTCGATTCGATCCTGTTCTATCCACCCTCGTCGACAACTGTTCGAGACACGCGATAAATCTTACACATTGGAGCTCGTAGAAGCTTGGACCAACTGTCGGCTCCATCCCCTCGGTCCTTTGTCTATGAAAGTCCTTTTCATTAATTTCACGCTTGACATTCGATCACATAGTCACTAGCGATGGGCTCAAGTCGCAATTAGGTTCTGATATCTTTATTTTGAAAAAAGAAATATTATTTTCAAGTAAACGCGATAGATTCGCATAGTCATTTATCTATTTATATTAATTTTCATTTTGCAAAATTTGTTTGAATTCTTTGTTCACGAGTAATTTATATCTGACCCTGGAATGTACACGTTCTCTTAAATTTTCACCCCCGTCCCAACTGTTCAGAACACACGATATATCTTGCGCGTTGATAGCCACAAAAGCTCTCCAACTGAACTGTCCGCTGCATTCCTTGAATTAATTCACGCTCCATATTCAGCTACATAGCCGCACATTAATCTAAGAAACTTTGCTTTTTTACCATTTCATTTCCATTTAATCATGGTATAAGATGAGCCGACAAATATACGACTCTATTTGTATAACATTTCTATTTTAACGAATGCTATATAGTCAATTTCTCAATGTCAAGATCCTATTTCGCAAATTCGTGCACACTGATCCGTATCTGACCCTTGGATTTACGTATTCGATCCAATTTTTTCTTCCCGCCATTTTCATTGAAATCACCCTCGTTCCCGACTGCTCGAGACACACGATATATCTTGAGAGCATTGGTTGCCACAAAAGCTCTCGAACTGAGCTGTCCTTCGCGTAGTCTCGCTTCTTTACCGTCGACCATTTTCTCACTGTGAAAGACCGAAAGAACTCGTTACATGGTGGATACGTAACGAAACGCAGTCGCTCTTTCATCGCCGTCGACCACTATTTGTCAAGCTCTCCTCGCTAGAAAGACCATTAACGTTCCTCCGTTTCCTTTCGCAACACCGTTCCTTTGTTCGTATCTACTTGGCTATAACAGCCGTGAACTTTACAATGGCTGATCCGATTATTATTATTGGAATTTGAAAGAGAAAAATGAAAATCTTTTATATAACAAAATATTTTTGCCTTGGAAAATCAAAATGAAATTTCGTCATCCTAGGGTTAAGCAACGCTAGGCATTTAATAGTTTTAATAATTCACACCAGTTTCTGATTAAAGGTTGGTCTAAGGGGGGCTGCAGCCCCGGGCCTCACTTTTCAGGTGGCTCCATTCTAAGTTTCACTTTTATTATATCAAAAAATATTTAATTAAAATTTCTTTAAAATTCCTTTTCTCTTTACGATTAAATATTATTTAATTTTATTTAGAATAAATTTCAATATTCGAACTAAGTTTATTAATCAAAGGAAACCTCGAGGGTTCGATAATCCCGAAGTCCCAGATATTTTAATTTCTGATCCACCCCAGACAAAAATTATAATTACTCCAATGCGAATAGCGTAGGATTAATTTTAATGTATTAGATCGTTAAAAAAATTGTATAAGCGATAGGTAAAAATTGATATACAAATTCCTGTAAGTTTCCAATATGTATCTCTTACAAGACACATGTTTCTTTGCCCATGAATCAGGTTCATCCACCGTTCGGAATAAGTGATCGTTCACGGCCATTCTATGTTTCGGCCAGTCGATCGACCCCTGAGTTTCAGGCAGCGCGCCAGCGAGTGGATCTATAAGGTCAGTCTTAACGGCAAAAACGCGCGGCTAATGCGGAATTCTCCGTGGCGGTGGTCTCTGCCAAATGGGTCAACAGTGGAGAAACCGGGAACGAAGTAACGTAGCGAAAGTCTACGAGAGGACGAGCGCACGATGTTCGCGCCATTTCGGGAGTCATAAAAGTCGGAACGCGACTCGTTGCCATCCCGTAATCTATACCGGTCTCTCTAAACGAATTATCGTAGATTTAACGTTGAACAGCCTTGAAAAAGCACGACGGTCACGGAATCGATCTTCCCCACTCGCTTTCCTACTATTCTATACCTTTCTCTTAACCCTCTTCTTCTTTACCTTTTACCATCTCTCCTTGTGACTCCTCTCTCCACGATACCGAGGACAAGAAATGGTTAACTTTAACCCCTTTCATATCATTTTATTTTTATATTTATAAAATGGGTAAGTGCTAAGACGTTAAATATGCCACGGTAAAGATGATTGTGTACAATATATCACGATTTAATTATAATTATTTAAATTACATTTATTTTCTTACTATTTTATTCTAATATTTTTTGCAAAAAGTGATGCAACTGCGAAATGCAGATGCATCATTGCATTTGTAAGAAAAGTAATAATCGTAAAGATGTAGTCCTCTTCGAACCATTCATCTTTTTCCTTTATGATTTTTTTTTTTTCTAATTTATTTTCTTCCTCCACAAAGGGGATCTTATTGGTTGCAGCTGACTGAACTTTTTCTAGGCTGTTCCGTCTGAGTCGATGGGAAAACGTAGCTCAAAGAAGCAGAAAGCCTCTTGGCTGCTCCGCAATTTATTCACTAATTGCTATGCAACCTTCCCTCGCACAAGCAGGTTCACTAACGAAAAATTGTGACTTGTCAACGACAAATGTTACCCATAGCTTTTGGGGCGAGTGGTCCCCGCTGCTCGCTTCGTAATCGCTCGAATAAGCTCGCAACTCCAATTAACGCCCACGCGACCATCTCGCTCGACCCGAATCCCTCTCCTTAATTGGCAAATGATTTTTCATTCCGAAAAACGACAGCTTGAGAAAACGCGACTAGATTTCTTCAGCGTAAATTTTTTACTTATTTTATTACTATATAATGAAAGGAAAGAGTGAAATTGATATTCACTGAGAATTTCGTATTAATAAGTACTTAGCAAAGAGAAATTAAGTTTCTCTTAGAAAATTGAACAATTTTGAAACTTTGTGTTTTTCTTCATTTTGTTTGCTTTATATGATGAACATTGCAATTTATCACGCAAAATTATCCAAGATAATAAACACATAATCTATGAAAGCGATCTTGTAACACTATCCACGATACTCTGGTCGATACTTGGAGAAGTTCCATTAAAGAGAAACAAACTGGTAATAAAATCCTGGCAAGCAGTGATCTAAAGAGAAATGAAGTTATATAAAATTTTTTTTCTACTTTTAGCTAATTGAGGTATAATTGAGCGTGTGCGATTAAATCGGATATGCTGTACACGAAATATTTAATGCAACGTTATAAGCAACTTCTCTAGATAACGACACTTGTTCTATTTAAAAGCTCCAAAGCTTAAAAATTCAAAAGTTCGCTTCAGAAACGCTTCAGAATTTTAAAACTTCGAAGTTTCAGAATTTCAATGTTTTAAACCTGCAAGGTTGCAAAGCCTGCAAAGCTGTAAAATTCCAAAATTTTTAAGTTTCAAAGTTTTAGAAGTTCGAATCTGAAATAACCTAGCTCTTCATGACAAACTGTGGCGCCCTCTAGCGCATCACTTGGCCGCCTCTAACCTAACCTTAATTTTTCAGATGTTATTTCTCTGGTCGAGAGAGCCAGCTCCAGGTCCGAAAGCAGGCCCGTGGTTCGCATGGTTCGCCACAGCGTTGGTTATCTGGCGTTGCAGACGAAGCGTGGCGAAAGCGATCTTAGCCGTGTCGCCGTTTAGGTTGTTAAAGAAACGCCACGGTCTACGTTTCGCCACGTCGAGGGCCTCGTCGACGGTCACCGTGAAACAGCATCCACGATTGAAGCTAGGAAATTCGATATTACAACGAAAGCACAAACACACAAGTATCAAGACGAAGGCGAAACGATTGTGCACCGGTGACGGGCCACACGTGACCAACTCGACCTCTGCGATGCAGCAAATTCACTATAGAATGACCAGAAGCGGCAAGATATACGGGAAATATCCGAACAAGGTCGCGATGCCGGCGAACTGCAACCAAGGAAGCCTCTGAAACGCTACCATTCCCATTTCCTCCGACTGCACGTTACCGATTAGCCATTTATGTGACCATGGCCAAAGTCGCGTTGCCTAGTGATCGTTCCGTCCGTCGCGTCCATGAAAATACCGTGTCTCCATGTACCACGATACGTATCCTTGCTTCTGTCTCCATGAAAAGTTACTTCATTAAATGGACACGTTGTTCTTGCTCCACTACGTGCGAATACAACATACCACGAAATACTGACATTCGTCCTTTCTTTCTTTTTTTTTTGTTTTCAAAAGAGATTTTAGAAATTTGTTTACTTTTAGAGACTGTTTATTATATACAGTAAGTTTGAAGTCATTTTGAAAGATATATTTGAAAAAAAATTTTTTTGATTTAGTGATTCTTAAATTCTTTTGGGGCATTTTGAGAATATTGTTGTTGCTTTATTTTTTATTAGCGTTGGTGTATAATTTCAAAATTTTATGTTCCCTCGATTAGAATGGAGCAACAATTTCATCCGCAAACGATTCTCGAACCAATCGGTCGAAAATATTGTGCGGTTCAATGGAAACGGAAAGATGCATCTCGTTCACGTGGAAGAAGTAGGTCAAAAAGTGATCGACGAAGATTATGGGGGTGTTTGTAATGAAAATTTAATAAGGTATATCGCAGTGTTTCTCTTGTTTTCGAATGAATCAGTAGAAATGTCGAAATAGAAGGTTGAATTTGATCAAAGTAACAGTGCGTTTTCGTATCAAAGGAGTGAAGCGGTTTAGCAAGGGGTGCGATTATTAGTCTTCTTGTTTCTTCCTGATGTCCTCGACACAGTTTCGGGTGTCGAGGTCGTTTGACAGAGACCTTCGTCGGGGTCACTATTGTATCCACAATCCACGACGACCACGAGCGTCGTTTTCGACTCATGGTCCCTCTTCTCTCCTCCCATGTAGGAGAGTAGATCAATAAGCATTCGGTGCGTTTCGATAGCTCAGGGTATCCTTATATATGATTTCCTATCTTGCACCATTATTCGCTGTTTTCCGCTTTTGGTTCATTTTCAAATCTGTAGAAATCTATGTCTTATAGCAACGCCTTTGAATATGAAACTGAATAAGATGCTGATAAGTTGTTGTTGATCTTTTCTGCTGATATTCCATTGCACAATGTGTACAGTTGGGTGCAAAATAGGCTATTATTGGTGAACATTCTGTAGACCCGTTCAACTTTTAGGTAACATATCAAATTGTCGTGGTAAATTCGAAACTTTCTTCCTCATCCTTTTTACTGTGTACCATTGTTACTTATGTATACTGTGCTTTGAAACTTCATTATTATTTAACAGTGCACGTACCACCGAAAGCACTGTATTATGTATTTGCGCAAACACGGAAAATTCGGGATATAGAAGGTTAAAAGTAAGTATGATAGAAGAAGCCATCTATCATTTCAGTTTTGCAAAAACTGTAGGACAGGGCTTCTTAAGCTTTTCCACTTAGCGACTCTTTTCACCCGAGCAAATATTTTCGCGACCCTGGGTATAGAGGTACATAAACTAAAAATACGAATTAAAACATTTGCTGATAATAAATCATAATGAAAATTTATAAATTTATAGTTTTCGGTCATTGCGGACCCAGGAATATTTTAGTTTTTGCTAAAATTTCTGCGACACCATATAGAGTCGCGAAGACTGAGAAACTCTGCTCTAGGAGAATCTAGGGAGAACTAGGAAGAACCTAAATAAAAACGAACCTAAAACCAAAGAAGATTGATGAGATACTTAATTTAAATTTTATAATGACATTATAAAATAAAAGTTTTCTAATAAATGTTATTGAAAATTCCACTAATTCTAATCGAATGACCCAATGGCTTTCAAATAATTTTGTATACTGGTGGTATCCAGAAATGTGTGCCATTCTGAAGAAAAGGGTTCATTCATAGGGAGGACTTGTTTTTAAAAAAATGGGCAATGGCCTCTTTCGAGTAATCAGATTCATTCTGAAAAGTTTCTTCTAAATCGTCTGAACGGTTGTCCCTATCGTAGCACGCGCATTGCCACAGTCTACGCAACAATGAACCGGCGGGCAAGTTTCTAATCAGAGATGTGCCAATTTGTAACACAATGGCCGTGGTTTTAGAATGAGCCGAGCGTATCGGCGTGCTGCACGTCGTCGTTCAGAATGAAAACGTAACTGTGCCAAATTTAATGATTCAGTGCCCTGTTGCGCCGGCGAACTTGACGTATCCCAGCAGATGTTGACTTTCAGGGGATTCCCTAGGAACCCTTAACCACATTCCCGATCGTCGGGGATGAAATTATAAATAGAACCCATCTGAGGCTTAAACAATAGCCCGTTCCCCGGAGTAGATGTATATAGAGATTGTTACAAAAATGGAACGATACTTAATGGAATTTAAGTATTTTAGACAGGACGTAATGGTATTTGTGAATGTAGATTCATTTTTGCAGCTTTTAAATTTCAGTGAAGGTGGCTAAAAGATTTTGTTCTTTTTAATTTGACAAATTTAATTTGAATTTTATGAGTTATAAAGTAACGTAAGCAGTGATCAGTCCAATTTGCGAAATCATTGCTTTACGTTTATTTTAATATAATTATATTAATCATGATCTAAACTTACCAAATAATTATACAAAGATATTAATCTAAAGTTAAATGCATCATTTCTAAACGGAACAGTGCAAAATTTAGAAAATAAGAATTAGGTGAAATTGAAAATTAAATTAAAACTGAAACTTTCTCCATGGTCCACCGTCCGAGGGTTAGGCAGACTGCGAGTTTCAAGGGCAAATAGAGAACACAGTTGGGGTCTCTGTTAATCGATCATTCGACGTCGTGGCGACGAAAAGCTCGTTCGTTTGCAAACGAGTTTCGGCGTCGCTTCACCACGGAATCGAATTAAGTAATTAAATTCCAGGGGTACTGATTGTAATCTTTGTTCGAACAAGTCTTTCCATCCTTGTAACAGCATCGTCGAACGCTCCACACGGATCGTGTACGCGAATTTCCTGTTTTTTAATCAAGAGCGTACGAAAATAGCGCGCGGGAAGACTTAATCAGCCTGTCTAACGTGAGTGGATGAAAGGAGGTTCTATCTGATTTGAATAGAACGCCTCTGGGATGGGGCTTCGGTAAGGTCACCGGCAAGACCTTGCCTATACTGAATTACGCGATCACCAATTTCACGTCATAGATACTCTATATCGGCTAAATAATATTGACTCATCGAAAAAGTAATTCCCTCTTAACACTTTCTTTTATATAACCACCTAGTCCACTTTCGACTGACACGTTTAATACTATTAAGGAAAATATGCAGCAAATATGCAGAAAATATCCTTGTATCATGTATGCAGGGTTAATTTGACCCAGCTGCAAAAATGATCATTTTATTTAGTATAATAGACGCATCATTCAATTCTTTCCTATAATTACAAAAATTTTATTTCTTATTTTTATCACTCGTATCATTTATTATTTCAATTCCTCAATTAATTGTAATCGATTATAATTAATGTTTAAATATAGAAACCCGTGATTGTATAAATTAAAGGGAATATTATTAAAAAAGAAAATATTCTAAAGGCCTTATCGAAACAATGGACTAGATTTGTCCAATTTGTCTCTGGAGCGTATTTTATTGGTAGAATTCAATATTTCAGTGAATTCACTGGAACAAGCTGACTCGTTGCGAGGGAAAGAACGATACATAATAGGATTCCGCATACGAAACAAGTGTCAATAAGCGAAGAAAAAAATCGATCAAAATATACCAGTTTACCTCGATGGTTCATGACACGATAGAAATAATTGAATCAACGTAATCAACTCGGATATATGTACCTCACGTTTCTCTTATCTCGACCAAGTGCATTTTACAAAGTAGTTCCACTTTATCATCGGCTCTCACTCGCGTGTTTCGAATCAGTTATGTATGTCCTACGATGAACTGAGAACCTCCGTCAAGGTTGATTCAACAGCTCGAATTTTCAATTCGATTTACATAATACGTGTTCAAAAGACTTTTTAGACAATTGGCTAAGTGACAATTGAAGGTTACATTTTGGTGCACTTTTACAGATTCTTTCTTATTAGAAAAAATGATCACTTACTATTAGATAGATTAGAATAATTAAAGTTTCTTTTCTCTATAGATTTTACATTAATATAATACTATTTAGTGATTCCAATTTTAAGTTTGCGAATTTCTTCATTGACGTAATTAGAATTTTTTGGTGGGTGGGCCAGGTTCCTTATGAAATTTTGTAATTCTGAAATTCCGATAATTATGAAATTTAATTTCAGAAGTTGTGGGATTTAGAAATTTTGAATCTTAAAATTTTCTTATGGTTGAATTTCTTATGGTTCTGACACGAACTCGAAAATACAATTTTTATATAAATCTAATTAATATTACTTTATTTCTCTAGCGACACTATTTATGTGACTTACGGAGAGGTATGCGCGAATCACTGGGCTGGTGCAAATGGGATTACTGCGTTCTGCAGTTGCAGCAGCAGTAAATCCTTCAGAGTTCCGGATAGAGGGGCATTCTCCATACGATCATCATTATGCTACACCGGTCAATGGAGAGTTATTTACGGGTCATGGAGTGTTGCATAATTCCGGGCCAGCTTCGAATGGAAAGGTCACCGTTTCCATGCATATCGCCTTTCAGCGACAGCGGAACAATTAGATGCAGCTAGCAAAGACGGATGATTTCTAGATGTCCTTCGAGCCCTTATATCTTCCAATAATATTAATTAAGATTCCACAATTAAAATTTTGTTCTTAATAAATCGGTATCAAGATCGATGATACATGTTACGTAATTAGTATCGCTATTTGCTGGTAATACATGGAAAAAATTCTCAGACAGATAATCGAATGCAAACGAAGCGTCCCGTGAAATTAGCATAATGGGATTTTAATCTGCGGACGTTGCGACCGCGATAGATGACACTTTATAGACGCATAAAAAGCGCGAAAAATAATGAATCACCTGGGATCTAAACGAACAGCCAGCCAATTGAAAGTATAAATCTCTACAACGAGACACAACGGGATTTCATATCTCATCCCTCCAAAAATTAATGACCCGATAGCAAATTCCCAAATGAATGATACAGAAAACATCCAAACGATCGATCAATTTCCAATGCCATTCGAGTCGTTGTCGTAATCAATCTTGCCCCATCCAAAATATCTCGAGTCACCCCGAAAATATTCAGCGTTTATCGGGAGCCGAAACCACCCTCAACATCGTTTCCAAGAATGTAAGAACAAGAATGCGGGCGCAGCTGCGACGCAACGTTGGCTGACGATTGAAAGCGTGATATAGGAAAGCACGTGTCGAGTAGGAAGCAGAGGGTAAGCAAAGAAGAGGAAAGAAAAGAGAATTGGCGCAGGGGTTAGACGGCGAGTGGGCGAATTTGCCGGAAATCGACTGGATTTCGGTGAGAAAAGGATGCGAGGGAGATTCGTGGAGGGCGCCGTAGCGTCGCGCCGCGTCGCGCCGGCAGGCTTCGAGCCAATGCGCTGTGAAAATGCCCGGGTGGGAAAGGGTGGATCGGGGGTGGCGCGCAAGCGTCGTCGCGGTATCGACGCCTCGGCTCCCGGGCCGAGGGAGAGAAGCGGATTCAGGCGGTAGTAGTAAAGCCCAGCTCGGGTCGGCCGAGCGCAAATGTGCGCTCCTACTGCTGACAGTCGCGTCTCGTTCGAGCTGGCCGATAATTTCGTTCGCATAACCAACGTGTCCCTAAAACGTTTAGCGTACGGCCGTCCCCCGGGAACGTAGCGGGGAACTCAGTGAACGTTGTCAACTCAGTCCTTCGTTTACAGTGTGTGACCGTTGCTTTCTATCTCCCTGTCTCTACTTCGCTATCCGTCTGTCTTTCGTCTTCTCTCTCTCTCTCTCTCTTTCTCTCACTCGGTCCATCGAGATCGAGGGGGTAAAAGTGGCGCGAGCAGAGACAGACCCAGCCGGAGACTGGCGGTGTCCGAGGCACTGGCGGAGCTGGTGCACGAGATCAGCATGAAATCGAGGAGGTACGTGGTCCATCCGAGTGTTTTTCGTTGATTTCACGGCAAAGATGGCAGTGTATAGATCGTGCGTCACTTTCGAACGATGTGTCACGGTGTAGGGATGCTGCGTGGTCCGGATACGCATTCGTTTCATTCATGTGACCGCTTGTCCGTTCCGACTGTTCACCCTGACACTATCTCGCGTGCCTTGCATCGACGCGACGCGATCTAGAGTGTCGGCTCCGTTTTCGTTTCGCGACGTGGCAACGGGTTAGGTTGCCAGCATCGAACCGCGGGAACTCGGAGAAGGTTAAGTCTCGTTTGCATTTAACACCACTTCACCCGCAAGCTTTCTCGGTCTTCGTTTCCATTATATTCCTTGTGAAAAAGAATCCTCGGATAATAGAATCATTCTTTCATCTGTAATCAAACGTCAATGGATATATATCCGTAAGGGAGGTTCAGGGACAATGCGTGCTCTCTTTTGACGTTCTATCTCGCTGTTGCTTTATTTTTTTTTCTCTTCATTTTCGTTTTTTTTCACCGCTTTTCTCGCCATCTCTTTCTTCGTCTGTTTTATTCTTTTCTATCTCTCTCTTAGCCCCCGCTTCCTTCGACTGAACCCTTTCATTCCTCTTTCATAGTGTGGCCCGCGTTCGGCTTCCTTTGACATATGCGCGCACACGTACACACACCGATGCACACGCACACAGCGGACGAGCGAGTTAGAACACGGACACAAGCGCACACACACACACGACT